AATTTCTCTATTAAATTAAATCTTCTTCTAATTATTATTTAAATTTAATAAAATCAAAATTAACAATTTTAATCTTTCAAAATATTATTTAAATTATCTCAAGATAAACAAATTAGATAAAAAAAAGAAGAAACAATGACCTCCACTAACATTACATTCATATATTTAAAACAATGAAAGCTAGCAATTGAGAAGATCAACTAAAGAATGGATTTTTAGGTGCTGAGGAGAACAATGCAACATTTAAAACCAGAGCAAAAGATATTCAAACTGAAGAGGTAAAGATATTCAAATTGAAGAGGTAAGTAACTTATAAACCCAATCCTCCTTCCTTCTTCGGTGATTTACAACAATTAATAAAAAAAGATAACTTGTAAAAAAATCAAGCTATAGGTTCATCTCAAGTAAACCATTGATTCTATTTCTTCTAATTATTATGGATATGGGTCTAGATCATGAAGAAGAGTTTTTCATTAAGGTTGATCTCTAGACTTAATTATGGAATTTAGGGAAAAACAAGCTATCCATAGAGACATTCAGGGGAAAAGATGCAAAGAAGTATAATCTCAAATACTCATTAGCTTAATAAATCGAACTGGGATTAGGCAAGCTAATAACTCCTTAATTCATACAGAAATTCTTCTCAAAAACCAATGTAAAAGGCTATACCACATGATCAGCAAAATTCCAAGAGAACTCACAAACACAAACTGCACCTGAAAATGAAAATCAAGGAAAAAAAAATGAAAATCCATCTTAGTTCAATAATTTTTAAAATATTTAATCCATCAGGAAAAGAAAGTATTCATAGACATTAGAACAATAGAACTGCGACAGAATTCAGTTGAAAAAATGAAAATCAAAATTGGAAAGAAAGGAAATCCCAATAGAAGCTACCAGACAGTCAGTCACCGGCAAAGAGTTCCCAAGTTGGAAAGGGATGAGATCCCAAATGAGAGTGAGTCGATAGTTTCCTTTTCTGGGAAAGAGGAGATCCCAAATCCTCGGCAACAAGATCTATCCTAAATCCCAAAAGAGTGTCAGGCGATTGCATGTTGATTCATCAAAATGAAGCAGTAACGAAACATGAATTTAACCAAACTAGAGTATCAAGCATACCAACGACTGGAAAACTGTAGAGAATGGACGAAATCGTTACCAAAATAGATCCGATTCTACGCTTAATCGGCACCAGAAACTTGAGATGAACCGTAGACGGAGCAGAGCGAGGACCAAAGGAGATCCCCCATCCAGTACTTGAGGCGTTGATCTATCGAGTGAGATGATGAAAAGTCAGCGTGCGATTGAGAACCTACTATCAAGGAGAGGTTGAGTGGCTGACGACGCGAAGGTGAGAGAGCAGCGAGAGCAACGGCAGAGTTAGGGCGGACGGTGAAGGCTCATCGTCGTCGGTGAGAAGAGAGTGCAGACCAAATTCAATTCAAAATTGAAATTCGAGGGTTTTAGGGTGAAATTGAAATGCACCGTATTTACTCTGTTAAAATACATGTATTTCATCCAAATTCAATTACATTTTATTTAGGTAAAAACAAACAGTAAAATTGAATTTAAGCCCTTTAAATTCAAATACACACTGCAAAATTCAAGTTGCCAAACAGAGCATTAAGGATCAAAAGGACTACTTTTTAGGGTTCAACAATATATCCTTTGTAATCACGTGTGATCGTGGAAAAAAAAAAAAAAAAAACAGCAGATGCTAATTTCTAACTTTCTAATTTTTTATCCACTTAGGATCATGAATTACAAAAATTAAGAAATCCTGAAACTAGTGGCATAACCACGCACATGCAAACCAAAAATCAAAATTTCGCACAGCAAGGAATTTAAGTCTGATCATAAAAGACTGAATTTCCAGAAACCAAAATCCACAATAACAACATAAATAAAGACACAAATTCAAGTTTAAGGAGACCCAATGTTGAATCGATCCATTAAACTGGATGAATTCGAGTATTCATCACATCAACACAAAACAGTAACAGAGAAGAAATTGAGCAGTTTCTCATTCCTGCAAATAAACTACATTAAATTGAAGGGGAGGAGTACTGTACCTAAATTCCAGATCAAATTACAAGCAGTAAGGAACTTGAAATTCCTCTGCCGGCAGCCCGAGGCACTCGGATCTCTCTTTTTTTCTCTACCGTCGGCTCTTTTTTTTTTTTTTTTTCAGACCTCGCCAAAAAAATCCCAGAGAAAAAAGATCACTATTAATTTATAGAGGAAGGAGAGATCACCTAGACCTAGTCTTCTCTCCATCACAGCCCTCCAATTTCCTCTTCTTTCTAAGCAGCCCTTGATCACTAAATGCCAACGATCTTCTGCATTTTTTTCATTTTTTCTTTTGGATGTGTGAGACAAGTAATGGAAACGGAGAGATGAGGATGAACGGAGAGGCGCTGGACGGCGTCAGAAGAAGAAGGAGACAGAACGGGATCAGAGAGAAGGCAATCGATTGAGCCGGTTTTCAAGGCCTGGATTCAAAACGACGCCGTTTGAAATTGGAAGTCTTCTCCCGTCCTTGACTTTGCCCTGCCTGACATTTAAATCCCCATGCTTTGTTCTGTTTCTCTCTAGTCTCCGCACGATGAAACATGCATTTTAAATGTTTGCAATTTAGTAGAAAACTAGAAATGCGAATAATTCAATTTAATCTCGCTTTTCTTTGTCAAATTTCTTTGTGTTAATTTCCTACGTCACATTAAAGCTCAAATATTTTGAAAATTTTCATTTAAAACATAAAAATTTATGAGAAATTAATATGTTAAAAAAATCAAAATTATTTGGTTACAATATCAAAGTTAAAAAAAAAAATTATATATGACACTATTAATTTTATATTCTCATTCCATGCTCCAAAACATATGGTATACATAAAAAAATTGATAAAGTAAACGAAAGTGAAAAATGCATCCTAATTGATTTTCTAATAACAAAAAAATCGATATATATTGGCTTGAATTTAGTTTATTTTTAATTTCAAGGAATGTAGTATTTTTTTTTTTTTAATTTGTATTCAAACAAATTGTAGTTCTAATAGTAATCTGAGAATGCTCTTTTTTTATGGTTCTTTGTGATAATATATAATTACAAGCCGCTTATGCACCCAAGGCATGTTTTACAAAATCGAATAAAAGTTACATATATTGGGTAAGAAATAGGAGGATCAAAAGAAGGATCTCCAATTACTTACTTTTCTATACCGTAATCACCTTTGCATATGTTGACGCAAAGAATGAGAATAATGTAACTAACAAAATAAGTCTCGGCGCATTGTTAATTAGTATTTGGCCTTAATTAAGAGTAATGCCGAAGCAGCCGTTGGGATGGTTGTTGTTAGAAAAAGATAAGAAGAAAACAGAAGCATTAGAAAGCTTTGTGACATGATATGGCCTTTCTCAAAAATTCAAAAATATCCTCCAAAATATAATAAAATTAAAAAATATCTTAAAATTAGGTATGAAACATGAACTCTATTTAAAGGAATCTATATTGACCAAATGAACATCTATTGAAAGGATGTCTTTGTAGAAAAATAACTGCCAAAGGGCTGTATCCCTAGAGAAAGATATCATTATAAAAAGGTAGAGGAGTGCTAGGGGTACTCACCTTCTGCACTCTCCGGCCAACACTTTCACTTTTATTGGGCCACGTTATTCTGGTCAGTAAGAAGTTGCACTCAAAGCCTGAAACAAGCTTACATGGCCCAATAAAAGGGGAAGTGTTGGCCGGAGAGTGCAAGAGGCGAGTGCCCCTAGCACTGCTCAAAAAGGTATCTTGTAGCTATCAAAAGTTGTGTTTAAATTTCATACACATCTTTTCAATTTCAAAAAAACAAAATTAAATTAAAATTTTGAAATTAATTAAAAAATAGTTTTTCTTCTAATAGGTCAAAGCCTCAAGTGCTATTTAAATGATAATATAAAAGGATTAGGCCTAAACCCAATTTTTACTGGTCAAGAGTTTTAACTTTCCATAATTTTTTAAGGATAGAGGGTGAACATATATAAATCCATTTATTTGTTTATTTTTCCTAGATGTAGAACTTTCTTCATTTCAAAATATTCGAAAGGCATTAGAAAATAGGACTATTTTCCATCTCTATTTTCTAATGAAAGTGGAAAGGGGTAAAAATTTTGTTTGGCATTTGAAAAAGAAAATCATTTTTTGGAAAAGGAAAAGGAGAAAGGGTATAGATATAGATACTTTTTACTTTAATATACTTATTAAAAAATTATTTTTTATTTAAAATTAAAGATAAAAAAACTTAAAATTACAAATTTAATGTCTGATTTAGTTGTAAATATGTTAAATAAAAAATTGTACTAATTATTTTCAAAAAAAATTGAAAAATAAAAAACAACCAAAGGTTGATTCTCAAAATAGGAAAATAAGAAGGTCCTTAATCATATGCTTTTCTTTCACTAGTATGAAAGCAAAGATCTCCAGTCATATGCTTTTCTTCATAAGTTGAATTGAAGAATGAGAATATGTGACTAAATCTCATGTTAACTTTAAGTATAACATAAGCAGAGTAGAATTTAATTCAAGTATTAGATCTCTATCTTGTCAATAAAGAAAAAAAGAAAAGAAAAGAAAAAGGCTTTCCAATTGATTTGCCAATATTTCCATTGGCTGTTCAAAGCAGCTAGATCAAACAGATGCATGCTTTGTTAAATAAGAAATAAAAAATCCATGCCAATTTATTTATTTGCAAATAGGAAAATTTTACATACTTGAATTTTAATATAAAGTTTATATCCAACTTAAACTTAATTTGTAATAAACAAAATAGCATTACTTATATTTAACTCAGTCTTTTTTTTATTATTTTATCAACGCAATTAGATTTTCACAATAAGAAAAAAAAAAAAATTTGGCTTGAAGAGCTTTCTTCAAGAGCGCGCCTGACTTCTTTCGTGGAAACACCTGAAAACTTGATCTTCCGCTAAAAAAAAAAATTGCTAAGGTCCGAAATTTCATTCATTATTTTATCCAGATGAAGTCGAAACTGTTTGGACTTCGTTTAGTAATTTTCATATCTTGTAAAAATAAAGATGAGGATGAAAAGTAAGATCCCTAAATCAGCTACTTTTCTACTATTATATTGTGTGCATGCTCGAACTACAAGTAAAGAATGAGAATATGTAAACTAGCAAATAAATCTGATCTTTATCTTTTGAGAGCTGGTATATAAACACCATTGAAGGTCATTAATTAAGGCATAAAAATGAAGAAGTGTCCATACCATATATTGAAGTTAGAAGAATAATTGCCCAGCCAGAAGGGTTTTTTTCTTCTTTTCTGAAAGGCTCGAGGCAGAAGCTTATGATAAGCAATGGTTGGAAGGTAAGTCCCTTAAACTTGTAATAAAATATGAATTATAAACATTTTAATTCGTGTAAAATATTTTTTATGATTAACATATATGTTTTGTTGTTATGGCTATACATAAACAGAGGGAAGCCGGCATTATCAATTGCAAGTGCATTTACATATTTGCTGCGAAAGATATGGAGAGAATGGGATGTGAGGGGAATGGTTCTCCTGAGCTTGCTCTTGCAAATAGCCCTCTATGTCTTAGGCAAACGCAGAAAGTACAATGTCAGCCTGATGAGAAGAATGATTCTTTGGTTTGCCTACATAAGCGCGGACTGGGTCGCTATTGCTGCTCTTGGTAAGCTCTCTAGTGCTCGTGCATTGTCTCCCACAAAAAATGTTCTAAGAGCACTATGGGCTCCCATCTTGATACTACACCTCGGTGGTCCGGATACCATAACTGCTTACACTTTGCAAGATACCCAGCTCTGGACCAGACACATCCTCACCTTAGTGGTCCAATCCTTCTTTGCCATTTATGTCATTTATTTGTCATGGATCTATCTTAGGCTTTCCATTTTGACCATTCCTCTCATATTGGCTGGAATAATTAAATATGTAGAGAGGATTTTGTGTCTTGAGCTTACTAGCTCTAAGAAAACAGAACCGGTCATCTCCGAGTCTCATCATCAAGATGAGTTAGAGATGTCAATATTCATTGACAAATTTCTAGCTGAACATGCAGATTCCATAATTGTGGTACTAGGCTATTTATTGTTTTCAGTCATGAGACCAGATGTACATGATTATTTGAGCGGTAAGTTGTATCTTCGGTCCTCTCAAGCAACAGCAAGGGTAAAAACGTACTTGAAGGGAACTAAATTCAACCATTAGAAGTCAGTTTTGGTAAGTTTGCTAGAAAGGGGAAAGCTAAGTGAAAATCCTTTTGAAATAGCTGCTGCAGAAATGGGGTTCATTTTCGACACTGTTTACACAAAAACTTCTTTGATTTATACCAAGAAAGGATGTGTCTTGCGCGTCATCAGCTTCACTTGCTCCTTTTCAGTTCTAATGTTCTTCTTGATCAGCATCATCAACGAGCCGAAATTCCATTTCTCAAGTGTTGATATTCGCATAACAATCAGCTTGTTGGTTGGAGCCGTGGCACTGGAATTTTTTGCGGTGTACTCAATGTTTTCTTCTCATTGGGCAATTCCTTTGATCTTGTTTCATGAAAATCGTTGGGTACGCAAAATCCTCTGGTACGTCTTCAAATACTTTCCTCGCTTGTTATTTCCTCAAAGGAATAGGTGGTCAGGTAGGATGGGGCAATTTAATTTGTTAGATTATTACTGGAATTCCAGTAA